TATGCTAATGGTTAGCAAATCAATTCAATTCAGTTTATTTATAAAGCACCAAGTCACTGTTACCATCTGGAAAACGGTTTAGAATTCCTGTTTGTAGATTTAACAGATTAAAAAGATCATTTCTCCCTACATTAATCAGATTGTTAAATAAAGAAGGCATATAGTTTTTTGTTATGCACTGATGCTCTGGTCTCATTGTGTCGTTTACTTGCTGGAATGTATGTATGTGTTTTTATTGAATTATGTGATTTTATTAATAGGTGTTTTATATTTTTGTATTTTATTATGGGGTTCACATGATTTTATTGGTTCTAGTGTATTTAATTGTGGAAGAAGCTTATGTCCAAGACAAATTTCCCCTCAGGGACAATAAAGTATACATCTATCTACATCTATCTATCTAAATACAACAGAAGTCATCTCAGGGCACTGAACAGAAACATTCATATGTAAAAATAAAGTGGTGACCATCTTGAATTGGACTAACTCTTAACGTTAATGACGTATGGACGTACAAACAGGGATTATTTCCTGAGAGTTTCCCTAAATCCATTCTGTGGTTCATGAAAAAAAGCATAGATTACGTTATGAGTCCAAGTTTATCATGTTCATTCATTTCAAAATGTGTTGCTAATATTTTCAGACTATTGAAGACGATCTGCATTACACGTTGCAGCTTTGAAGGACACAATCATTTCCTGATTATTCCACACTGTTGATGTTTTCTTCACAGATGGCTGTGTCATTTCTGGAACCCTGGAGTGGGATGTTGGTGGGTAGTTGCCGTGCAGAGGAGCTTTCTGCCTGTTGCTCCACACATGCTTCAGCAATATGTTGCTCATCGGCTGCTGCCAGACCTGTTGGAGAGGGAAAGGGTTTGTTTCCGTCAAGTTAAAGTGTATTATTGTTGCATTACAGTATGTAAGTTAACAATACACCTGTAACATTATGGACATGGAACATCAACAGCCTTTTTAGCTTCCAGGTTATCATCAGTTACGAGCTGTAGCTGCTTAACGATGATCGCCTGCTGCTGAAAGGCAAATGTTTTTGCCTGTGTTTGTGTTTGTTTGTCTGTTAGCAAAATATCACATGAACGACTAGATACACTTAAACAAAACTCTCAGAAAGTAATTGTTTAATGTTTGTTTGTGACAAATTAATTTTGGATTCAATCTGATACAACATGGCTGCCACAACTGAACTCAAAAACACACAAAAAAAAGGATAAAACTCCAAATTTATCAATATATTACAGATGTTGACCTGAAATTTGGTGTGTTAGAAGCTGAGACTGATCTCCAACACATACTCTAAGCGCTAACAGATTATTAGCCATTAATTTTTTACAGTCAACTCTGTCAATCTGTTAGCAAAACATCTCTGAAGCACTGCGAAGATTTTAGAGCAACTTTCAATTCAATTCAGTTTATTTATATAGTGCCAATTCACAACAGAGTTGTCTCAGGGCACCGTACAAAAACATACACATACATAGAAAAGCCAGTCAGTAAAGTTCTCTTTATAAGGAATCCAGCAGACAAGTTGAATCTTGGCTTTGTTGCAGTCTCCCATCCTGAGCAAGCACAGTGGCAACAGTGGAAAGAAAAAACTCTCTTTTAACAGGAAGAAACTTCCAGCAGAACCAGGCTCAGGACAAGCGGCCATCTGCTTTGACTGGCTGGTTGTGAGGACAGGAAGGAGAGACGGACAAACACACAATGGTAGGTCCAAATGTAGGTCCAGATGTAGGTCCAGATGTAGGTCCAGATGTAGGTCCAGGTGTATCTGAAAGACAAAAAAACAACAACTCATGTTAAGGATAGAAAGAATAATTACAAATACAAAACAGGTTGAGCAGAGTAAGTAAAGACAGCAGCAGAGTGAAAATTGTTGTCAGTTTGTCCTCCAGCAGTTTAAGCCTATAGCAGCATAACTAAGGGACAGCTCAGGAAACCCAAGTCGATCCTAACTATAGGATTTAACAAAAAGGAAAGTCTTAAGCCGAGTTTTAAAACTGGATCATGTGTCAGCCTCACGGACAGAGACTGGAAGTTGGTTCCACAAGAGAGGAGCCTGATAACTGAAAGATCTTCCTCCCATTCAGTTTCTGGAAACTCTAGGAACTGCAAGTAAACCTGCAGTCTGAGAGCGAAGTGCTCTGTTAGGAAAATATGGAACAATAAGATCTGTAATATAAGATGGAGCTAGGTTGTTGAGAGCTTTGTACATCAGAAATAGGATTTTGAATTCAATTCTGGACTTGACAGGGAGCCAATGGAGAGAAACTAAAACTGGAAACAATCATTTACTATAATTCTACAACTAATTAACATTTGGAGCCAATCCATTTCAAGATGGTTGCCACAGCCAACTGGATTTATACAACAAATAAGTTGTGACAATCCAGTCTTTCGCATCCCAACACCTCGAGCACTACTCATCGTGCAGGATATTTTCTTAAAACTTTGACAATAACTGTTGGAGTCAACCCTATTTGTCTGTTAGCAAAATATCTCATGATATTGCCTAAAGCATTATGTTATTTTAAAGGTTTGATCAAAACAGTTCTGTCAGTTCTCATCATCAGATGATCTCAGTCTCTGACATGAAGCTGGTGGGTGACATGTATTCCTTCAAGAAATACCAGGACTTAATTCAAAAGGTTTTAGATTTCACTCTGATTGTTAGTTTATCACATTTAATGTTTATAGCAGGAGTGATTCTAGAATTTGACCTTAAGGGGTGCTCAGCCCCGAGTGCTGACAATGGCTCTCGGCTTGAACAACACAGTGGTCGTGGCATGAGAAGCATTTGCAATGTGTGTGTGTGTGTGGGGGGGGGGGGGGACTGGTGGTGATGGGGGATTTTGAATAAAGTAGATGCCATTTCGTGCAATCTGGTGTATTTTAACGGGTTATTAAACATCTATGTTTATGTACATATGAAAACATGTGAATCAACAACTATTTTAGAGAGCTTGGCACAACAAGACGTAACCTGACCAACAGCTCTCCTTGTGTGGCTAGAGCACGCGTCACCTGTCTCGTTCATCCTAACACCCCCACTCCAACCCCGGTTGACAACTGCTGACAAGTGTATTGTGGTGCACAATACAGACACACTATTACTGGATTGATTGACAGGTGGCACCCAGGATCTGACTCGTGCAACAAAAAAAACAAACAGATTTTATTGGCCCGTTTAAGACTGTCATAATTTATTCTATATTTATTCCAAATTTATTCAATATTTTGTTAATTAAGGGTTGA